GGGCACAAAGACGCGCTGACCACCTGCATGCAATGCCGGCGTTCTGGAGGGCGCGAAAGCGCTCTTCATTTCCACTCCAAACTTTCTCTCTTTTTGCCGGCTCAAATCGTCAAAGTTCAGGAACCTTCTGCCCAGGTTGGAGGCCCTTTTCAGCCCCTTTTAAACCCTTTTTAAACCCCTTTTTAAACCCTTTTAAACCCTTTTAAACTCTTTTCAAACCACTTTTTAAACCCTTTTAAACACTTTTTAAACCACTTTTTAAACCCTTTTAAACGCTTTTTAAACCACTTTTTAAACCCTTTTAAAGCACTTTTTAAACCCCTTTTTAAACCCTTTTTAAACCACTTTTTGAACCCTTTTAAACCCTTTTTAAACCACTTTTTAAACCCTTTTAAACCCTTTTTAAACCACTTTTTAAGTCCTCTTTGAGGCAGTTTTTAAACCCTTTTTCAACCCCTTTTAAACCCTTTTTAAACCCTTTTTAAATCCGTTTAAAAGCACTTTTCAAAAGACTTTTCAAAACACTTTTCAAAACACTTTTTAGTCCCTTTTTGAATCTTTTGGCCCAAGTTGTCTCTTTCTTTTTGTCTCCAAAAGTCCCTTTTTTTGTCTCCAAAGGTCCCTTTTTTGTCTCCAAAAGTCTCTTTTTTGTCTCCAAATTGTCCTTTCTTTTGCTTCAAATTGTCTCCTTCTTTTTGCCTCCAATTGTCCCTCTTATTCTCCCCAAAAGTCCCCTTTTATCTCCCCAAAAGTCTCTTTTTATCTCCTCAAAAGTCCCTTTTTTCTTTCCTCAAAAGTCCATTTTTGTCTCCAAAAGACCCTCTTTTGTCTCTAAAAATCCATTTTTGGTCTCCAAATTGTCCTTTCTTTTGCCTCCTCCCCTCCGCCTCCAATAGTCCCTTTTCCTCTCCTCAAAAGTCCCCTCTTATCTCCCCAAAAGTCCCTTTTTTATCTCCACAAGTCCCTTTTTTCTTTCCTCAAAAGTCCATTTTTGTCTCCAAAAGCCCTTTTTTGTCTCCAAATTGTCCGTTCTTTTGCCTCAAATTGTCCCTTTCTTTGTGCCTCCAATTGCCCCTTCCCTCCGCCTCCAATTGTCCCCTTTTATCTCCCCAAAAGTCCCTTTTTTGTTTCTAAAAGTCCCTTTTTTGTCTCCAAAAGTCCCTTTTTTTGCCCCCAAAATTCCCATTTTTGTCTCCAAAAGTCCTTTTTTTGTCTCCAAATTGTCTCCTTCTTTTTGCCTCCAATTGTCCCTCTTATCCTCCCCAAAAGTCCCTTTTTTCTCCTCAAAAGTCCCTTTTTATCTCCTCAAAAGTCCCCTTTTTCTCTCCTCAAAAGTCCATTTTTGTCTCCAAAAGTCTTTTTTGGCCCGCAGGTGCCGGAGGCCGATGTCCCCCGCAGCCTCACTTGCGAGCTCGTCGGCCACGCCTTCACCGACGTCCTCCAGCCAGGTCTGTTTGTCTTTTTTGTCTCTTTTTTGTCTCTTTTTTGTCTCTTTTTTGTCTCTTTTTTGTCTTTTTTTGTCTCTTTTTGTCTCCTTTTGTCCCTTTAGTTGTCTCCTTTGTTGTCCCTTTAATTGTCCCTTTAATTGGCTCTTTATTCGGCTCTTTTTGGCTCCAGATTTGTCTTTTTCTGGTCCTCCAGATTTCTCTCATTTTGGCTTTTCTCCGTCTCCTTTTTCTCCCTTTTTTGCCTTTTTTTTGTCCCTTTTTTCTCCCTTTTTTCTCCCTTTTTTGTCCCTTTTTTGTCCCTTTTTTGTCCCTTTTTGCCTCCCTTTTGTCTCTTTATTTGTCTCTTTATTTGTCTCTTTATTTGTCTCTTCATTTGCCTTTTTGTTTGTTTAATTTTGGTTCCCTATTTGTCTCTTTTTGTCCCTTTTTTGTCTCTTTTGGTTTCTTCACTTCTCCAATTCCTTCTAACTCCTTTAAACTCTTTTGAGCCATTAATTAATTAATTAATTAATTAATTTATTTATTTATTTATTTATTTAATTATTTATTTATTTATTTATTTATTTGTCTTCAGGAATGCAAGTGACCCTGGGGGGCGTTTTGCTGCCGGTGCAGCAGCACAGCAGCCAGCTGCTGCGGCTGGGTTTGGTGCAGCAGCAGCAGTTTGCTGTCAGCAGCATCCAGTTCCCAAAGGCCCCATTTGCTGCTGCTGCTGCAGCAGCAGCAGCAGGAGGCGCCCCCGCAGCAGCAGCAGCGGGGAGCCGGGAAGAGCGGGAGCTGCAGCAGCAGCTGCAGCAGCTGCTGCAGCAGCAGGGCCTCTACGAAACCCTTGCTGCTGCTGTGTCTCCTTCTGTCTTTGGACTTTTAGATGTCAAGAAAGCTTTGCTGCTGCAGCAAATCGGCGGAGTCCCCCGCAGGAAGCAAGACGGGGGCAGCATCCGCGGAGACATCCATTTGCTGCTGCTGGGAGACCCCGGGCTGGCCAAGTCCCAGCTGCTGAAGCAAGCAGCAGCAGCAGCAGCAAGAGCTGTTTATGCTGCAGCAAGCAGCAGCAGCAGCAGCGGACTCACTGCTGCTGTTCTCAGAGACCCCAAAACCAAGGAGACAGTCCTCGAGGGCGGGGCCTTGGTGCTGGCCGACAAGGGACTTTGCTGCATTGATGAGTTTGACAAAGTTGGTTTTATTTATTAATTTAATTAATTAATTAATTATTTAATTAATTAATTAATTAATTAATTTGTTTGTTTGTTTGTTTGTTTATTTGGTTTGTTTTGGTTTTTGTTTTATTCGTTTATTTGCTAAATTGCTTTAAAAACAAAGGACTTTGCTGCATTGATGAGTTTGATAAAGTTGGTTTTATTTATTTATTTATTTATTTGATTAATTAATTAATTTAATTAATTAATTAATTAATTAATTAATTAATTATTTTGTTTATTTTGGTTTTTGTTTTATTCGTTTATTTGCTAAATTGCTTTAAAGACAAAGCAGGGACTTTGCTGCATTGATGAGTTTGATAAAGTCCGTTTTAATTAATTAGCTATTTACTTAATTGTTTTAATTAATTAATTAATTAATTGTTTTAATTAATTAATTAATTAATTGTTTTAATTAATTATTAATTGTTTTGTTTATTTTGGTTTTTGTTTTATTTATTTATTTGTTTTATTTATTTAATTGCTTAAAAAAAAGAAACAGTTTTAGAAGGAGGGGCTTTAGTTCTTGCGGATAAAGGACTTTGTTTTTAATTAATTGTTTACTTAATTAATTAATTATTTAATTAACTAAATAATTATTTATTTAATCAGTTATTTACTTTAATTAACTAGTTATTTAATTAATTATTTAATTAATTTTTTAATCATTTATTTAGTTAATTATTTTATTTAATTATTAAGTTATTTGTTTAGTTGTTTAATTTAATTAATTAGTTATTTGTTTGTTTGTTTTATTTAATTAATTAGTTACTTGTTTATTTGTTTTATTTAATTAATTATCTGTTTCGTTTATTTAGCTTTTTGTTTTATATGGTTGTTTGTTTTATTTGTTCAGTTGTTTGTTATGTTTATTTACTTCATTTAATTATTTGTTTATTTAATTGTTTGTTTTTTATTTATTTTATTCTTTTGATTTATTTTATTTAATTATTTAATTATTTAATTATTTTTATTCAAATGGATGATTATGATACAAGTGCAATCTATGAGGCTTATTTTCTTCATTTTTGGATTAATTAATTAATTCAATTAATAAAATAATTGAATTGTGTTTTTAATTAATTTATTTATTTAATTAAGTTATATTATTTATTTAATTAAATTATTTATTTATTTAAATTATTTATTTATTTATTTATTTATTTATTTATTCAGATGGAGCAGCAAAGTGTCTGCATCAACATAACGAATTATCCGTTTTCTTTAATTCTTTTTCCAACTAACGAATTAATGAATTATTTAATTATTTAATTAAACAAACCAACAAATTAATTATTTAATTATTTAATTAAATTAATTAATTAATTAATTAATTAATTATTTATTTATTTATTTATTTATTCAGATGGATGATTACGATAGAAGTGCCATTTACGAAGCCATGGAGCAGCAAAGTGTTTCCATTGCAAAAGCTGGCCACTGCAGCACGCTGCCAGCAAGAGCAGCAATTCTTGCTGCAGCAAACCCCAAAGACGGACAGTCCGCTGCTGCTGCTGCT